GGATATTTAGCAACTGCAACATTATTGTTGACAATTCCCTGTTAATCCCCACAGTGAATTTTTACACCCTTGCTTTGTGTGATTTTGTGCTTCCCTTCTATCAATGTAATGCTGGCTGTTACTTTGAAAGAGAGCGCTGACATTATGTTGTGCAGCTTGTGTTCTGTGCCTTGTTTTAGGTTTATTTTCCTGTGATTTATTAAAAAAAAAAAAAAAAGCCTGAGCTGTTGGCTTTCTAAATGCTAATTTCTGGCCGGAGCCAAATATGTAGAATCTGAGTTTTTCTGCCCACTCACTCTGCTTTAGAGCAGCGTTAAAAAGCTGCCTTGAGAATTTGGAATTTTGGGTTAGCGAATCCTGGTTTTTGTTCCAGAAGTTGCATAAATGAGCTCAAGTGAGAGATTATTGTTTGGCTGTGGATGGATCGCTCTTATGAGGTTTTTAAACGGCGATGCTGACTTGTTTGCAAAGCTTCAGGTTTTACAGCAGAATGCAGCTTGTTTTTCTGCCTCTGCCTGGACTGTGGCAGCCCCAGCTATCTCTAAATAGTACTGTGGACAGTTTGTTTATCTCTCGTAGTAGTAACCAGGGCAGGCTTTTATCTCTCTTTGCCCTGACATAGATGCATCAGCAAGACTGTGAAAAAGAGCTTGACCGCGTCCCACTGTTGCTTTTCAGCTTGGCTTTTGGCAGATTATAAATCCAGATCTGTGTTACTGTGATCCTTTGGCTGGTTCAAACTGAAAATTAATAAATTGCATAGTGGGTGGGTTTTTTTCTTTTGTTTTAATATCTCAAGTTGTGCTAAGCTCTGTTTTTCTTTCTCAGTCAGATTCAGAGGAAGATGAACCAGCAAAGAAGAAAAATACTCTTCAGGTAAATACTTTGGATATTCAATTAAACAAGTTTCATAGGAAAGAAGCATTTTGACTGTTACAGATCTTGGGCTTCCACTAGTGTAAATCAGCCACTCTGATTAGCATGTGTAAAATTCCTGAAATCCCCTGGGGTGTCAGGTCCCCTTTTTGGGGGCAATTTCATAAATTTAAATCTCAGGAAAATAGGCATTAATGTGGGAAGTAGGTGGATATTTCCAAGTACCACATTTCCCTTAAAAGTCCCACTGGCCTTTTGTGCGAAAAAGCCCTGCAGCGTGTTCAAAGGAGCAAACGATTGTGCTGAGCAATGGGAAACCCATTAATGTTGTGAGAATCGGAGGGAGATAATTGGCAGGGAGTCAGGAAAACTAAATAGTCTCACTCATTTCTCTTCTTTCTGTGAACCGTTTGCCCTTCATGAAAACTCACCAGGGACGCGGCGAGGGCTCTGGCTTGTCCGCTTTGCTTCCTCAGCCCAAAAATTTGACAGTGAAAGAGACCAATCGGTTACTTTTGCCCTACGCTTTCTCGAGGAAAGCGGGAGACAACGCCTCTGACTCAAAGCCCGCTAAGGCCCCGACCTCTTCCTCCAAAACAAAACCTCTGTCCAAGCCAGCGGTGCCCACAACTCCTTCTCCGTCTGCCATCAAAGCTGCGGCGAAGAGCGCTGCCCTCCAGGTAACCAAGCAGATCACGCAGGAAGAGGACGACAGCGATGAAGAGGTCGAGCCAGAGAACTACTTCTCCTTGTCTGACAGGAGCGAGCCCAGCGTCGTGGGTGCTGAGACCTACATGTACTCTGGCACGGTGGTGTCGGAGGACCCACCGCCCGGGACAGAGACAGAGCCCCAATTCCAGGACGCTGCTGCTAACGCCCCTCTGGAGTTCAAGACGGGCGCGGGCTCCAGTGGTGCTCAGCACAGCTGGGCCCCCAAACCCGGAGAAGACTACGGCAGCCAGCCGTACAGCCAGTTCCCTGCCTACGGCGAGGCCGGTGCATATTATCAGGTGGGTTCACCGACCCGGAGATGAAACTTGATAGTGCTGCTCTGAAAACCCGTCTGGGATGAGGGGCTCTGAGTCAGGTACTGGAGCAGGCTGGGGCTTGGGGGAGTCTACCCCGTTTGAGTTAGCCAGCACAAAAAGCAGAGCTCCACAGCGCTTGGCAGAACAGAATTCCCCTGGCATGACTGTAGGTGCTCTTTGGATAAATGTTTAATAGCTGCACTTATTTTAAAATGCCCCTGTGCAGCTGCCCCTGTTGTTGTCAAGGTGCAGAATCAGGGCCTGCTAGAGCTGGTGTCTGAAGCCAGGTTGTTTCTAGTAATTCAATTTGCTGTTGAGTACCTCTGAAAAAATGCCCTGTACTTTTCAGTAGTGCCAGCGTAAGGAGATGTGATTAGTGACTACTTCAGCCAGCGCTGGGACGCGCTGTACTCCCCAGAGGCTGAGTGAAATCCCTCTAGGTGAAAAAGCAGCAGCTCACGGGGCGAGGAACGCGAATCAGTGCTCCGTCTCGGGGCCCGTGTGTGTGGTTGCTCCAGGATCAATTTTGCTTTGCTCTCGTGACAAAAACGGGTTTTCCTTTTGCTGACAGGATTACTACAGCGGCGGGTACTACCAGGAGATGGAACCAGCCCAGGCACCACCACAGGAGATGAGCACTGACTCCTCCTTCATAGACGACGAAGCGGTTGGCACTTTACTGGTTTTCCCACTGCGGAATTTGCGTTTAAGCTCTGCTAGAACATAGGACCCATTTGACAGCCACAGTCCTGCCCCACCAGCACAACCTGGGCTCCGTGCGGAGTGGGACTGGGTGGTGGTTCCGTGGGGTCTGGTGCTGTGGTGTGGACGTGGGCGGTGTCTGTTGGGCTACTGCTCCAGAGGGGTTTGCTGGCTTTACAAGCAGGTGATGTTTGTTATTTCCACTGAGCCCAGTCTCGTTCTCGTGAGGGGCATCTAGGGCAGACAAGGTGTGTAGGAGCAAAGACGTTGCTTGCTGAGGTGCAGATGAGCTACCATTCCCATACCTGCACAGTACGTCCTCTAGCACAGTGGTGAATTCTCCACTTATTTCAAATGCTCAAAACCCTGTTTTGAAAAATTCTTTCCCATTGTTGATCTAATCTAGAAACTGCCAGACTTGTTAGCTGCGCTGCTCAGTGCTGCAGAAGACAGTGGCCCATCTGGTGCTCGCTTCCTTCGAGGGACCTCTTTACTTTAGAGGTGGATTTGTGTTATGGGAGGGTGGATGTGTTAGCAGGTGCCTCCTGAGCACTTAAAATGAGAGTCAGGGGTCCGAGGGTTTTCTCCTGAGGAAGACTGAAGGCAAGAGTAAATGCTATTTAAATGCATAGAAAAATGAGCTTATAACCTCCATGCTAAGTAGTTTAAGATATGATCTATAGCAAAGCAGAACTCTCCTAAAGACAAAAAATCCTGATTGGAAAAATGTTTATTGATGTGGTGTGTCCCATGATTGGGGAGCTAAGGCTCAGACCCCATCTACATTTACTTAAGCGCTGGTGTGTGACGTGTGTGTGTGTAACTCTGGTTGTTCTGTTTTTCTTCCAGTTCAAGCGTTTGCAAGGCAAGCGGAACCGAGGGAGGGAAGAGATCAACTTTGTGGATATCAAAGGTGACGATCAGCTGAGTGGAGCCCAGCAGTGGCTGACCAAATCCTTAACAGAGGAGAAGACCATGAAATCGTTCAGCAAGGTACGGGCGGGAAGGGAGGAGTGCTGGCTGGGATTTTGGAGGCTGCTCTTCAGTTCCCATTTCAGCCACAGCTGGAGCTGTATTAGATGCTACGCAGTCACCAGGGTGGGGGTGACAGAGACCCTTGTGTTGTGTGTTGTATAAATAATTCCACATGAGAGACCAGTAGAGCTTCTCAAGACACAGTCCTAGCGTGCTGGTGGTAAAGACCAGCCAGGAACTGCTTCAGCCTAAGGCATCTGCCCAGAGCTGTTTAATAGGAAACAAATGCTTCTTGAAATGGCTTTGTGCATTCTGTCATTTTGCTGTCTGGGTCAGCATCTCTCCAGGCTTAACAGTTCACCTGGTTTTGCTTTCTAGAAAAAAGGAGATCAGCCCACAGGACAGCAAAGGAGAAAACACCAGATCACATACCTGATCCATCAGGTGAGTGGCTTCCCTGCGGTGTGGAAACTGTCACGGCACTGAGCTTCTAGCTTGCTTTTTGCTTTGCTTCACCCTTCCCCTCCCGCCCAGCTCCAGTGTGTGTGTGGTTCTGTGTCTTTGCGAGACTCTCTGCTTCCCGTCTCGGTTCCGCGCCGCTGCTGTGTGGTTACTGAGCGGCTGCTGAGACCATCCCACAAGAGAAGCTGCGTTTCGGCACGAATGAAATGCCTGTGCACCCCAATTTAATTCAGGCCTCTTGTCAAGATAATTGTGCTAACTCCTATAACGAGGCTTCTCGCTGAAGTGCTCTGTAATCCCTGTCAGCAGGGGCAGAGGAGGGTGAGATACTGCTGAGTCAGTGAGCGGCGATGCTGATGTTAATCCTCTCCATTTCTGCAGGCAAAGGAAAGAGAACTGGAACTGAAAAACACGTGGTCTGAAAACAAGCTCAGCCGACGTCAGACTCAAGCCAAATACGGATTCTAACACCTCTGTCCCACTTTTTTGGCCGTTGTCCCAGGTGACTCACCGTGTCAGACGTCTCCTGGCCTTCTGGAGATCAACCAGGCCCCGTGTAGAACGTGGTCTGCTCGGCGGGTGGGAGGATGCTGCACTCCCCTGCCTGGCAGGAGAAAGGTTTAATGCAAGCCGGTCCTGAAACTCCACCTGTAATCTTTCCCCCTCCCTCCTCCTAAGCGATAATGCGGAAGGTTCCAATCAAGCCTGTTTCGTACGACTGATGACGGTCCCAAGGCAGCGCAGGGAACGTGCCCGGTGCAAGGCTCGGAGCTTTTGTCCTGTAGGTACAGGGGCTACTTCTCCTTCGACATAGCCTCGCCACTGGAACCTTAGGCTGACTCTCAATAAACTTCCAGTTCCCACTTTGCTCCTTTCTTGGACTCGCGGTGCGTTGAGAGTGTAATTTTTCTTTCTAAAAGACTGAGTTTCAGGAGCAAGCCTGGCTGTTTTTTTTTCTTTCGGTCCTTTTGTTTGACATGTTTTCATGGCTGCTTACTCAAGTCCGAGTAAATCCAGTGCTCCTCTCATGCAAATGATTTCGATATCTTTTTTCTTTTTTTTTTTTTTTCTTTTTAAGTGTGGCTAAGTTAGTGTTTTTATTCTCAGCTCCACCCGCCTGTATGTCTCAAACCATGCTGAGGGGAAACTCCTTTACAGGTCAGAGCTTGCAATAGAGGTGAAAACGCCCCGCGTGTGGAACGCACAAAAAGCAGTGAGGATCTCTTGCCCAGCATGAGTGAGCCGCTGCTGAGGGCTTTTGGATAAACGTGATCGCTGTGTGTATGTACGTTTCTCTTCCTTTTTTCCCCCCCTTTTCCCTCCTCCTCCTCCCCCTGACCCGAGGCCTGCAGTGCTGTACCAGCCTGCTCTCCAGACTTGCTGAACCGAGTTTTCCCAGCCTCGCACGGTGCAGTGCAGCTGGCAGTGAGCTCGGCGAGTGAAGCAGCAGTATTTCCTCTGAGCAGACACAGATGAAAGCTGCCAAGTGTACATTTTTTTTTTTTTTTTTTCTTTCCATCTTGTTTATATCAATTTTATTTCAATTAAGTGTTAACTTTATCCTCCTGGCTGGGAAGAGGAGACCGTGTCCGGCCTTAACTTTTTAAAATGGAATCTTTTATTTAAGGTATTAGGTCTAGGCGATACGACTGCAAATCATGTGCAGCCTTGCTGGCCAGATCCACGTATCTTTAGCCAAATCTCTGTGGCCTCACTTTAGTTTGTTGTTCACCAAAGCGTGAGATGCCGAAGGGGACAGAGAGCTGGTCTGGCTGTTTAACTTACATTCCCACCACTAAGGGTTGTATTTGTTGTAACCGCAGCTAAAAAGGCTAATATTTGTTACTCCATTTAGAAAAACTCCCCGAGAGGTTGTTTTTCTCCCATGTTACCTGTTAAAAACAAGCAAACAAAGCCCCCATGAATGAAGTCTTTTCTTAGAATATTTTAAAATAATCTGATTTCTAGTTTAGTTCCCTGGATGTTTTAGTACTTTGCAGAGCCCATTTTGAGTATTTGAATGACCGGAATAAAGTTACTGTTGGGTAATTTATTCATATCTTATATGTACAGCGAAATCCTCTGAAAAGAGATTTGATAAAGGAATAAACTTTTAAATGAACCGAACCACACCTGTTTCCAGTCGCGAGGTGCTCAGCTCCTTGCTGGAGGCGTTGATTTTCCTTCTCCCCTCTCTGGTAAGGCCGAAGCACCTTTGCACCCGCCGGTGGTTTTGGGGGGGGGGTGGGGTGTGTGTGTGTGGGGGTGCTGTGGCTGTTTGGGTTTGTTCACAGAGTTGACCTCCTTGCGCAGCCGGTGGTGACGAAATGCTTGTCCGAGGGAGTTTTGCTCCGTGCAAGCTCATTTGGGGTGCGACCCCCCCCCCCCCCCCGGCACTGAGCTGTGCCCCCCACCCCGGGGATTCATCCGCTTCAAACGCCGAGGGCGGTGGCACTCGCAGCACGGCGGGGCGGGAGGCTCCGGGCTCCCAAATTCTTCTGGGTGGGATCGTGGAGTCCTGGAGCGAGCCGAGAGGCTGAAGCTCGCGAGTTGGCCTTTTCTTTTTCCATTTCGGAGTGTAATGGCTCATTTTTAGCACTAGAGGGGGAGTTACGAGGAAGGGAATGGTGGCTGACTTCTGCTTTGCTTTTGGCCGTTTAAGAACAACAAAATGTAGGCTTGTGAAAAGCGAAAGTAGAGTTGTTTTGTGTTGTGTTTTTTTTTTTGTGTGTGTGTTTTTTGTTTTTTTTTCCCTGAGAGGTAAAAGAAAACAACTCCAACCCCACAGCCCTTTCCCCTCCCTGTCTCAAAGTTCTGTCACATCTCAGCGTGGAGCTTTAGCCTCCTTTAAGGCTGGGCACAGCACGTCTGCTGCGAGGATGCCGTTGGCTCTGTCATTTCAGCCCCAGCGGCTGAATTTGGTCCTTGGCGTTGGTATTCTCCCACGGTTTGTGGCTGAGGAAACAGGCAGGGCTCGGAGATGTCAGCGCCAGGCTGGTGATACTCAGAGTGGCCCTGCCCGGCTGCGGTGGTGCTCGGGCTTGCGGCCAGTTTAATATCTGACTCTGGATGCACCAGCCCTGCCCAAAACCCATCTCTGTTTGGACGGTAATAGCTGCTTCCGCCCTCATTCTATTAATAGCAATCTCTTTCTGAAAGCGTTCAGAGATAAATTAAACCCGTTCCCCCTCTTAACTGTCTCGCAGGGGCTTGGGAAGGGTGTGGGAATCCCGGCACGGAGCCAACTGGCAGCACCAGTATGGCCAGGGCACTGCTTGTCTGCGGAGGGGCCAGCTGCAGTCCTGGACCTCCCCTCCCAGGTTCGAGGGCTTCTTTTGGCGGGGCAGGAGCCTGAGAGCTTCCTTCTGCCTGGGAGCTGGGTCTGGTCTCAGACCTACCTGCGCGGGAGGGTTTAGAGCTGCTCATAAACGTTCCTGGGGCCATCCTGCCCACCGCCCGCGGCTCGCTTTGCAGCGCTCGCCCTCCGGCTGTAAACGGGGTCGTCAAGCTCCAGCGCGGGGTTCGTCGTGCCCTGGGGAATCTGGGGAGGGGAGGGGGGGGGGTGGAGATGGGAACCAGCCCTGAGCTCCTGCCTCAGCACGCAGAGGTTTTGACTTGAGAGCCAGGACGTGGTTGAAAGTTTGGCCCTTCGCCCTCCCGGCCCTCAACTTCGCTCCCGCTTCGCCTGCGAGTCGGGGTTCGCCTCTCCAGCGTGGAGTGCTGGGCAGGGGACCCCCCGTTCCCCCACCCCACGAGCCTGGTGCGGGGCAAACCCTGACCCGGCAGCCTCTACGAGAGGTCAAGCACAACGAAAGGCTCTACAAGGCGGCCCGGAATGAGGAACGCACCTCCACGGCCGGGCTGGGGGCTCCTCTCCCCTTCCTGTCTGCGCTGGGAGGTGCCGGGAGCTGCCGCCTCTTGGAGGCCTGGCTGGACAAGCTGCGGAAAAGCCGGCGGTGAGGGCGGGATTTGGGGAGCAGCGTGGAGAAAGCGCCTCGGGCTCCCCGAGGAAAGGGAACGGGCTGATCCTGCCGGGCCAGCGCCACCTCGGAGTAGATGTTCTCCTCGGGGCCGGCGCTGGGGCTCGAGCCCCGGCCCATGGCGTAGAAAGGGATGGGCTCTTCCAGCTCGTTGTGAGTGGGGGGGTTGGGGGCTCGGCCCTCGTGGGGTTCGGCGTAGGTGTGGAAGCACATGAGCTGCTGGTACTTGGCGTCGGGAGGCTCGAGGGGGACGGCTTCTTTGTGCTCCTGAGCGCAGGGACCTTCCGGAGCGGCGGGGCTGGGCGGCCCCTGAGCCACGGTCAGGGAGCTGGTCTTGACTGGGAGCGGTGGGGGGACACGGGGAGCCTGGGGAAGAGATGGGACAGGTGGGAGTGGGGCTGCGTCCCCACCTCTTGAGGGCTTTGGCTTCTGTTCTTGGGGAAATGGCCCCCCATCCCATCCCCTCTGCCCTGCCTGTACCTCCCTGGGTGAGCCTCCCTCAGCGCTGGGCTCCGCGGGCAGCGGGGGGGCTGCCTGCCTGGTTCTTGGGGTCCCCTTGAAGATGGTGCTGTACTCCGAGGGGTTTGCTGGCGCTTTGCTCCGTGGGGAAGGTGCGGCATCGCTGCGGGCTGGGGTTTGCATCCCTCCTTGGGGCTCGTCATCCTGCCGACAGGAGAGAGGTGCCGGGGTGGGTACGTGGTCAGGGGCAGACCCACGCGGGTGCTGGTCCCACCTCGGGTGTGCTGCCCGCAGTTTGGCTCCTTGCTCCCCGCACCTAGGCCAGGGCGGCTCCGGTTCCAACCCGACTTTCATGATGCTTGGGCTTGGCTTTGATTTCCCCAGCTTGAGAGAAATCCACCTCCCCTCGCCCCATTGCGTACAGCAGGAATGACTCTGCTTTTTTTGGCTGCCGGGACTAACGAGGGGCCGGGTCCTCACCTGTCCCCACGGCACCGTCAGGAACTCGTGGTACGGCGTGATGGGGGTGACGGCGTAGTGCCGCAGCAGGTCGGCCAGCTCGGCGTGGGCACTCCGCTCCCCCAGGATCACGTACCGCCCGTCGGGCAGCTGGTCCAGGATGAAGTGCCGGCAGCGATCCCTGCCCCTGGGGAGAGAGGGAACGGGGTTGGCAGGGCGGGTGGGAAGGGGACTGAGTGTATCCGGTCCCTTGGACAGGGCCAGGGGTCCCTCACCTGTAGGACAGGACGAAGCCGATGGTGCTTTCGCTGAAGCGGACCAGGAAGCAGCCCGGCGGCTGATCCTGCAGCAGTTCCTCCGTCTCCCTGTGGGAAGAGGCCCAGAGCCCCTCGCTTTCACCCCCTTCGTGGCATCCAGGGGTGCAGCTCCCTCTTTGGGAGCCCAAGGGTGGGGATGCTGAAGGGGCCACCCCGTTTCCCAGCCTTGGCTTCCCTTCCCCGCTCACCTCCGGCTGATGAAGCCGTGGAACCAGGCTGGGAGCTCGCCCTTGGCTCCCAGCCTCCTGGCTTGTGTCTGTTCAAACCACAGCCTTGTCCGGGCACGCAGGGCCACCAGCTCCGGCCGTGGGTCCCCGTCCCGCGAGGACCAACCCTGTGGGGCTGGCCAGGAGCCTGGCAGGACCTGGAGGGAAGGGGAGAGCAGCCGGGGGCTCGGGTGAGGAGGTGCCCTGAGGATGCTCTGCTCCCCGCACAGAGCTCGTGGTGCAGCCCGGGAGGACACGGTCCCTGTGGGTGTGTGAGCTTGGGGGGGGGGTGCTGGGACGGGGAGCTGGGGGGGGACAGACCCTTCACAGCCCCATGTCCTACCCTGCTGTGAGTGTTGTGGTGTCCTGGGAGCTGCTCTGCTCCCTGAGGCTGGACCGGGGTCGTGTTGGGTCCCGGCTTGCTGCTGGCTGCGTTGTCCTTGCCGATGGGTTTGAAGGTGCTGAAGAGGGGACTGTCATCATCCGTGGGTTCCCCTGGCCCAGGGAGTGGGGAGAAACGGGCTCAGGGCAGCGAAGCCTCCCTGGGGGCCCTGAGCTGGCCCTGTGCCCCATTGCTGCCCATGGGGCACCGGGATGGGTGTGTGTGTGTGTGGGGGGTTCCATGACCCCCCCATCAAGTGCTGCTCTTGCCCACAGCCTGGGCAAGGGGCACCTTTGCCGTGTGCCCCCCATCCTAGGGCTCATCACCCTGCTTCTCCCCAGAGAGACCACCCTGGACCCGCACTGCAAGAAGGGACAATGACCCAGGGACTGCTGAGCTGGGTGAGGAGGAGGAGAGGGGAAAGCACGTGAACCCCCCCGCCCCCACGAAAGTCCCTGGGGTGTGGGGTCAGCCCCGGGAAGCGGAGCGAGGCGGGTGTGGGGCTCTGCATGCAGCCACCGAGGGACCCTGAACTTGGCCCTGAGCCGCCAACACTCAGCAAAACAACATTAATCCCCAGCAGATGCTTGAGGGGGTGGAAAAGGCCGGGGCTGGTTTGATCCGGGAGGGAAAGCCGAGTCAGAGGAGCTGGTTGAGGCTTGTCTGAGAGTGGGGGGATCCACGTGGGGGGGACGGGGAGACTGGGGGCACGGATGGACAGCACCTCATCTCCACCTTTAACCAGCTGCAGTGCCCAGCCGGTCCCCGTGCGTGGGGAAGGCAGGGAGATTGTTGATAAAGTGAAACAAAACAACCCAAACCGCAGCAAACCAAGGCGGGGAGTGCTGAGGAGGCAAATTTGGGTCAGGTCCTGCCTGGGCAACGGCTAGGCAGCTGGGGACAACGTCCCTCTCCCCGGCTCGCAGGGTGGGCAGAGGTCCTGGGCGGAGGTGGGGGGCTCGTCTCTGCTCCCCCACCCCAGCACCTTGGCCTTGGAGCGGTGGCTCGAGGGGGCTTTGCTTCCCGGGGTGGGATGTGCTTCTTAAACCCTGTGCTCCTGGGGTGAGAATGGGTCGAATCGGATTTAAAACGGGGCCATTTTTGCTCCCTGAGACCTTTCGGGGCCGGATTTCCTCCTTCGAAAGGGGTAAGACCGGGCTGGGGTGGGCAGGGGCCCCCGCTCCCTCTCTCCTCACCCCCTTGTCCTCTGCCCCTTCTCCATTGTGCCTTTGGAACGGGGGGAGCATCCCCTCATTGCCCGGCGCTTGCCCGACCCAAACCCCCTTGCTCGGGGTTTGCTCCTCGGCCTTTTTCCTCCCGTCCTGGCACCAATAAAACCCAGGACGGACCCCAGCCCAGATCCCCCAAGCCCCGGCACCTACCTCCGCCCGGCCACACCGGGACCCAGGAGTCCATGGCCGGAGCTGATGGGATGGCTGGGCTGGCAGGACGGACAGACGGCCGGGCTGGCAGGACGAGCAGCGTTGCTGCTTTGCCTGCGCTCGCGCCTCCGCCGCCTGCGAAGGGCAGGAAGCAGCAACCGAAGCTGCAAAAGCGCCTTTGCGTGATGGGGAGACGTCACAGGAAGGTGGCAGGGGTGGCACCGGGGTGGCACCGGGACCCTCGGCACAGGCTGGGCTGCGGCGAGGAAGTGGGGGTGGGGGGCTCCGGCCACCCCCCCGCCGGCACCGTCCCGCTCTGCAAAGGGCTCTTTGTTCCTCCCATCCGCACCCCGGGGTCTCGCGCTGGCAGGGCGCGGGGCTCGCTTGGCCCAGGTTGATGCCACAAACTGGGATTTCGGTTCCTGGCGCAGGGTCCTTTCCCCGTGCCAGACCCGAGCACATCCTGGGAGACGGCAGGGAGCACCGGCATGGCAAAGAGGGGCTGAGCCCAGCTGGGAAACGCAGCGGCTGAGCCGCAACTCTCCCTCCTGGTGGTGCCAGGCTCCGGCCGGCCCCGCGGAGAGAGCGGTGCCAACCCCGCTGCACCCCGGAATCTGCAGGGATTAGGACCGCGATTAGGGCTGGGTTGGCTCATTGTCACACCAGGACAGGGACGGGGTGCACCCGGCGGTGGCTTTTCAAGCCCCTGGGTGCCGATGGTGCCCGGTGCCCCCCAGTATCCCCCAGCACACGGTGCGGTGCCAGCCCCGGCTCTCTCCACCTTAAGAAACGTGTCCCTCCCTGCTACCTTCACACCCTCCGCTCCGCTTCCCCTCCGCCGGCCGCTGTATAATATTTTTATTTGTCAGCCAGGTTTCCTGTTTGCAATCCTCACGCCTCCGGGTGCCGAGCGGCCGGGGGACATCAGCCACGGGGACATCGGTGAGGGGGACATTGGCTGCCTGCGGCTCATCCCACTGGGTCTGGGCCACTCCTTGAGGATCCGAGGTGCTGGAAACGCCGGGAATTGCCCCTAAAAGGTCTTTTCCAGCTCTTGTCCACAGCCGGCCACGGGGACAGCGTAGGGGGATTTCTCAAGAGAGCTTGGGAGGAGGAACGCAAAGAGCTTTTATTCTTCTGAGTCGCAGCCGGCTGGTGGCCAGATCCGGCCCCGGCTCGCTGGGAAACGCCGGGACTTCGAGGAAAAGCCTGGCACTGCTGGGATTTTCTGGAGGAAAGGCTGGAGCTGTGTGCGGCGGAGCGGGGGCGGAGGTAAGGGATGCTGGGGTCGGGCTTTATCCCGGTGCAGGGGGGTCAGGGAGTTTTGGGGTCCTGGCGGTGCATTTTTTTTTTTTTTTTTTTTTGGCAGCTGCCACCTGCGAGGTCATTTCCCTGGGAGCCCATTTTCTGGGGCCGGGGTGTTTGCTCGGCGTGGCTGAGGCCGGGCTGGTTTTCCCGGCAGAGGGATGACCGGCAGCGGGATGCGGTGGGATGGCACGCAGCCCCCGCGGCTCCAGCCCCTGCTGCCGTGAGCTCAGCCGTGCCACCCGTGCCTCAGTTTCCCTCCTTGCAAAAGCAGCAGGGTGCAGGGGGGCTGTCCGGTGAGGGGTGGGGTGTGTCGGGGGGGGGGATCAGCTGCTTGTGTCCCTCCCCAAGGGACGAACGGATGCGCCGTGACCCTGGGCGGTGCGTTGGGCCCCGCGGCCGTGTCACATGCTGGGGACAGTGGCCTGGCTCCAGTCACATCCACCCCCACGCACGTACCAGCCCCGGGGACCAGCTGGCTCTGTGGATGAGCTGTGCCTGGCTGGGGGCATCCCCCCCCCCAACTGAGCCTGGGGGTCCCCTCACCCATCCTGGGGGTGCCTCAGGACCGTCACCATGGGCAGAAGCTGTCCCCTGTCCTGGCTGGCTGGGGAGTGAGGGAGAGCGCGGCTGGGTGTGGAGGAATGCTCAGGGGGGTAAGGGGGTTACAGCTGGGCTGGGAAAGCGGGGGGGGGACACCAGGCTTGGGGACCACTCGCTGTCCCTTATGGCCACCGTGGGGGGGACAGGAGGGCTCCCAGCCCCTGTTTGGTGCAAACACCGGCGCAGCACAACGCCGTGGGGACGGGGACACGGTGGCAGGCTCAAATCCCGCCCCCCAGGAGCTGAGGAGGGGGGGATTAAACCCCTTGCAGCGGGTGCACCCCGGTTTCTGGAGGGGTAAATCCCGGCGTGCCGAGCTCGTGCAGGATCTGGCCCCGCCGTCCTTTTTGCTGAGATAAGGCTGAGCCAAGGCGGCTGGGGGGGGTTGACATCTCAGGGTCTCGTGCTCCCTTATTGAGCTGTTTTTTCCTGGGGGGGGGACACACCCCGCCTTTTGCTGATATCACCTTCCTTATCCTTTTCCCGGTGGCCTTGAACCCCACAGCCCAGGACCCTCTGCCTGCGCCAGCCCAGGAAACCTCCCGCTCTTGGGGACAAAGCGCTGGGGACACCGAGGTGGCCCCAAGGCCGGGGATCAGGGGCGTCCCCCCGCTTCTCCGCGTCGCTGCGAAGCCGCTGGTCCCGACTGCCCTGACCGCTGGAGCATCACTAATCCCATCTTACAGCTGGGGAAACTGAGGCACGGGGTGGGGGGGGTGGGGGGGGTGTCAGGCCCCGGCATTTGCCTGCTGCCGCGTAAGTTAGCACCTGAAAGAGGCTGGTTTGTGGCTTGGAGCTGGCGGGGGTGAGAACCAGGACCCCCCCCCCCTCTCCCTTAGTGGATGCTGTGCGAAAACCCATCAGTGTAATGAGTTGGGGGGGCTCTGCCAAGAGCAGAGGGCAGGCAGGGCCCTCCGTGGGGCCTTGCTAAACCCCCCCACCCCCCCCAAATCTCCTTTCCCCCTCACCCCATGGCTTCTTGTCCTTGCAGTGATGGCTGAGGGTGGCCAGGCCAGGGCCGTGGCTGGGGGGGGGCTGAGAGCTACCCCTGACAGCACCCAGGTGAGCCTGAGCTGTGGGGCTGTGGGTGTGGGGTCTCCTGCCGGGGGGCTGCGGGCGACGACCAGGCAGGACTGTCATGGATGAGCTCATGGAGATGTTTTTTTTTTTTTCCCACTATTAATCCCCCTCTTTAAAAAAAATCCAAAACAAAACAACCCAACAATGTTAGGTTTTCTCTGCATTTTGCACCCCCCCGTCCTCCCCAGTGCAGCGAGGGGCAGTGACACCCCCCCCCTCCCTGCCTGCCCCTTGCCTGATTTCTGAGCCCACTGGGCAGCTCCTGCCCACCCCGATTGAGGGGTGAAAGTCTCCAAATTCCCACATGCCGGAGAGCTGGGTGCGAGCTGGGAGACACAGACAGGACCGGAGCTCAGCCACAATATTAGACAGCGGAGAATCTCCTCTAGTGTGTGTTCTGAGGGGGGAGGTTGTGGTGCTCTCCATGGGATGGGGGGGTCCTTGCATGGGCACGTCACCGTACCCTGGGCAGGTGGCTGAGCCGGGGTCCCGGTGCATCCCCGCAGGATACGGGGGCTACGAGGAGCGAGGGGCTAGTGGCCACCCTCAGCCCGGGCAACGTGGAGGAGCTGTACGAGCTGCTGGAGACACTGGGCAGGTGAGCGGGGTGCAGGCGGGGCTCCCGCCCGCGTGGGGTCCCCCCAAAAACAGACACACCCCACCCCCACCCCCCCCCCCGCCCCCCAAACCGGGTGTTGGGGGTCAGCCCGGCCGTGCCCCAACCCCGGCCTCTCGCCTCAGCGGCCACTTCGGCGTGGTGAAGCGGTGCCGGGAGCGCAGCACCGGCGCTTTCTACGCCGCCAAATTCGTGAAGACGCGGCGCTGCCGGGGCAGCCGCCTGGGGCTGGAGCGGGGGCAGGTGGAGCGGGAGGTCGCCATCCTCCGCCAGCTCGATCACCCCAACATCATGCGGCTCCACGACCTCTTCACCAGCCGAGCCGAGATGGTGCTCATCCTGGAGCTGTGAGTAGTGGGGATCGCCAACCCCGCCCCCCTTTTTTTTTCTTTTTTTTTTTTTTTTGCGCCGTGCGGTGCTGAGCTCCCTTCCCCCCCCCCCCCCCCAAAACTCCTCACCCCGCGCAGGATCGGCGGCGGGGAGCTCTTCGACTTCATCGCGGAGAAGGAGATGCTGTCGGAGGAGGAGGCCATCGAGTTCCTGGGACAGATCCTGCGCGGGGTGGGCTACCTGCACGCCCGCCGCATCGCCCACTTCGACCTCAAGGTGCCCGTGGGGACCCCCCCCCTCCCCCTATCCTCGCTCCCTGGGGGATCCAGGGGCTGCAACCCCCGCCCCGCTCAGCTCACGTCTCCAAAATGCTGATCGCATCCTGCCCGGCTTCCCGGGATGCTGCTGCCCTCTCCGGGGCAGTGCCCGCCGGCAGATCCTGGCACCCCCCCCCCCCCCCCGGTCACCCCGCTGTGCCTGGCCTCGTCCCCGCAGCCCGAGAACATCATGCTGCAGGAGAAGGACGTCCCCAAACCCCGGATCAAGATCATCGACTTCGGGCTGGCCCAGCGCCTGGAGGATGGTGTCACCTTCAAAAGCCTCTGCGGGACCCCGCAGTACATCGGTACGGGGCTGGGGGGGATCCCCGGGGGGGGGGGGTGTCCCCGAGCAGCCCTGCTCCGTGGGGTGCAGCTGGGATGCTCTGTAGGGACCCCCGGGGTGGGGCTGGGACCCTCTGGGTGTGCGGGGAGGTGACCGGGATGGTGCTGTCCCCTCTAATGTCGTGTGTGTGTGTGTCCCCCACCCCGGCTCTGCGATCACCCCCAGCTCCTGAAGTGATCAACTATGAGCCCCTCAGCTCCGCGACCGACATGTGGTGAGGACCCGGGGGTGAGGGGCTGAGCCCGGGGGGTGGTAGGGACCCCCCTGGGTGCCACGGGGCACTGGGGGGGACCCCAGGGAGGGCAGCGCCTGACCCCCACCTCTGTCTTTCAGGAGCATCGGGGTCATCACCTACATCCTGTGAGTATGGGGCGATGCTCCCTGCGGCCAGGGGAAACTGAGGCACGGGGATGAGCCCGGGCTGTGGGGTGGCTGAGCCGGTGCTGTCGCGGCACTCAGGGGCTCTGTCGTGTCCCCGCAGGCTCAGCGGCTTGTCCCCCTTCCAGGGTGAGACAGACGCCGAGACCCTTTCCAATGTGGTGGCTGGTGCCTACGAGTTCGAGGAGCGCTGCTTCAGCCAGACCTCCGAGGCAGCCAAGGACTTCATCCGGCAGCTGCTGGTGAAGGAGCCAGAGTGAGTCCCGATCCCCTTCCCACCTCCATCATCTCCATCCTCATGCCATCTCCACCCCCATCTCCAGCATCCCCACCTCCGTCCCCAACCCTATCTCCATTTCTATGCTCTCTCTATCCCCATCCCCTTCTCCATCATCAGCTCCATCTCCATCAACCCCATCTCCATCCCCAACCCTCTTCCTTCTCCATGCCCTCTCGATCCCCAACCCCATCTCCATCATCGTCATCTCCATCATCATCTCTGTCTCCATCTCCATCATCATCATCCCCATCATCATCTCGATCTCCATCACCATCATCTCCACCCCAACCCTAATCCATATCCATGCCATTTCTATCCCCGTCTCCATCATCTCCACCCTCATCTCCATCATCTCCATCTTCATCATCTGTGTCCCCCTCTCCATCATCCCCATCTCCATCCCCAACCCTCTCCCATCTCCATGCCCCCTCTCTGTCCCCAACCCCATCTCCATCATCGTCATCTCCACCATCATCTCTGTCTCCGTTTCCATCAACTCCATCCCCATCATCTCGATCTCCATCTCTATCATCTCCGTCCCCAACCCTCTTCCATCTCCATGCCCTCTCTATCCCAACCCCATCTCCATCATCATCATCCCCATCATCATCTCGATCTCCATCTCCATCATCCCCATCCCCAACCCTAATCCATATCCATGCCGTTTCTATCCCCGTCTCCATCATCTCCACCCTCACCTCTATCATCTCCATCTTCATCATCTCTATCCCCCTCTCCATCATCCCCATCTCCACCCCCAACCCTATTCCATATCCATGTCATCTCCACCTTCATCTCCACCATCTTCATCACCTTCTTCTCCATCACCTCCATCATCCCCATCCCCGTGGTGGATATTTGGGGCCGGGACCCCCACCACCCCCCACCGCCGCACCCCTCTGTGCTGCAGGCACCGCATGACAGCGGCCGAGTGCCTGGTCCACCCGTGGATCAAGGTGAGAGGGACCGGGGGGGTTTGGGGTTGGGGGGGGATGTGACGGCCCCCCGGGAGCGGGGTGGGGGGCACGATGCCGACGCCACGTCCTCGCCCCCGGCAGCCCCTGAGCCGCAAGCAGGCGGCGAACCGGAGCCGTTCCTCCATCAACATGAAAAACTTCCGCAAGTTCAACGCTCGGAGGAAGTGGAAGGTGAAGGGGGGGGTTCCCCGTTCTGGGAGGGGGACACACCCCCCCACACACCCCCCCAGAAGTGGGGTCCCACCACCCGTGGGGTCCCTGGGGAGCTCGAGCTGTGCTCCATCCCAGGGCTGGCTGCGTCTTGCGGGGTGGGGTGTCTGTGTGTGTAGGGCGGGGGATGCAGCCCTGCGGTGTGGAGGGGGAAGAGGAGGGGAGGGGAGTGACCCCCCCTCCCACACTCAGACCCCCCCACCGTCCCCCTGTCGTCCCCCCCACCCCAGCTCTCCTACAACATGGTGGCCGCCTGCAACCGGCTCTGCCGCACGCGGCTGCTCTGCGGCCTCAGGAAGGAGGATGAGGAGCTGGTGAGCAGCCAGAAACCCCCAGACCCACCCACCCCCCCCCAGCATGGGCCAGGGTTTGGGGGAGAGAAGAGATTTGGGGGGGGGGACACACGACACACCTGGCCCCCCAAATGGAGTGGGGATGGCTGTGCAGTGGCTGTGTAACGGGGAATGTCCTCACCTGGGGGGTCCTCTCCCCTGGGGTGGGCTCCTTTCTCCTAGGGGGGTTCCTCTCCCCTGGGGCGGGGGGGATGGTTGTCTCCCCGGGGGGGGTGGGTCCTGTCCCTCTGCTCTCCAGCCCCCCCTGTGCCCCCCCCAGCGCCACTGCGAGAGCGATCAGGAGGAGGAGGGCAGCCACCCCGTCACGCTGCTGCGCCGGAGGAGAAGCAGCTGCTCCTGAGGCCCACCCCCCCCCCCCAAAAAAAAAATAAGGAGACAGGACCCCCCCATGAGAAGAGCCCTGGGGATCCCCCTGTCTCCCCACTCCAGGGCACAGGAGCTCTGTCCGGCTCCAGTGCTCCCAGTTCCACAGTGCTGGAGGGTCACTGGGGCAGCAGCCCCCCCAACACCCCATCCTGCCCCCCCCCCGGTCTCTGCTGCAGTGGGGCCGGGGCTGCCCCACGGCTGGGACCCTCGCCCGTGCTCAGCCCCAGCGTGAAAAATAAATGTCTCCCCTTCATCCCTCCTCCTCTTCCTCGCGGCAGGGCTGCTGGGGGGGGGGGGGACCCCAGGGGTTGTGGGGTGCAGGCACCCCGGATCAACCCTGTGATGGAAGATGACCCCCTCCGGAATGGGGGGGGGGGGGTGTCTCCATCAGTGCCTGGCTGCTTTCTTGCCATCCCCGCACCAGAGCAACCTGGATCCTCCTCTTCCTCCAACTGGGGAAACTGAGGCAGGAGGCAGTCTTTCCTTCCCGACCCGCTCCGGCACGGGGAGGGGGGGGGGGCCCCCCCCTGTTTTTCCCCCCCTTTTTATTTCCCAAACAAGCCTTGGCGCTGGCCCTGACAGTTGTCAGGCTAAATATTTTGTGTGCGGCAGCGGAAAACAAAAGTGAAGGGGCCGCAGGGTCCGGGCGAGGGCCGCGGGGGCCACCCCTATCCCGGCGTGCCGCGGGTGCCGGCGGGGAGTGCCGGCCGGACACGGCGTGTGGGGCTGGACACGGCGTGTGGGGCTGGACACGGTGCAGCAGCGCCCGAGGCGGGACGGGAACGGGACCCCGGGGGTCCCACTCGGGGATGGGGACAAGGGTGCTGGGTGCCCTGCGGCTGGGGGTGACGCTGCTGGTCCTCGGTCCCCTCCCGCTGCCCCCCGTGAGAGCCCCCTCTGAAAGTAAGTGCCTGGAAAGGGGGTGGCTGGGAGTGGGGTGGGGGGGTGCTTAATTTGGGGGGGGGGGGGGTGTATGAGCTCTGGGGGTGTGGAGGGCTGCGTGGTGATGCCCATGGGGGTCTTGCAAGAGCCAAACCCTGAGGCAAAGCTCTTTTGGTGCTCCCTGGCTCAGTTTCCCCCTGTAAGCTGCGGATCCCACCCCCCATCCAGGGCAGGAGGGGCAGAGCGTTGGGACATCATCCCCCCCCACACACACACCTCGCTGCTGGGATGGGAAGAGGGGGAGCGTGGCGGGGGGCTCGGCTGGAGCCGGGGGGCATCGATCGCTTGGGCCCTGCCGGGAGCCGGGATGGTGGAAAATTGTAGCTGGGCGGGAGTTGGGGCCGGCACCGCTGCTCCCAGTGCTGCTGCTGGGATGGAAAATGGCTGGGGAGGGGGCAGCGTGGAGGGAGGGGGGGGGGGCTGGTGGTGCGTCCCGTCTCTCATGGCTGGGGTGCAGCCACTGGCTGGCATGGCTGGGGGTGGGGAGGTCGCAGGAGGGTTCGGGGTCTGTCAGTCTGTCCTCCCTTCCCCACCACCCCGTGCCTCAGTTTCCCCGAGCATTGAGGGGCTGTGCTGGGGTTGGGGGGGAGCGATGGAGGAGGGGGGTGAAGCATCCCGGTGCTGGGGCTGTGCCGAGAGCTTCCCTGGGGGCTGTGCCTCCCTGTGCCTGCCCCCCCCCAAGGGACCCCTGTCCCCTCTCTGTCCCCTCCAGGGACACGGGGGGACCCCTCTCCCTTTGTGCAGCGGAGGGACGGGGTGACTTTCCCAAGGTCAGGGAGGGCGGCGGTGGCAGGGGGGGCTATCACCCCTGGCGTTACGGCTTGTCCTGTGGGAGGATGGAGGGGACCGCCCTGTCCCCACTGAGTGGGGGGGACACACACAGGGGTCCCCCCAACCAGCACCAGCCCCCTAAAAAAGGGTCAAACCCCGGTGCGGGACCGAAGCGACCCGCGCCTGCCCGCGCTCCTGGTGCCACGGGCAGCTGCCAGGGCCGCGGTGCCCACAGTTAATGAGTGACACTGAGAGGGGGGGGAAAAAAACCGCCGCGGGGGACACGGTCACAAGGATACGGCCACCAGACGCAGGCCCCGGGCTGGCTGCAGACAGACGAGGGGGAAAAAAAACGCACCCCAACCCCACCGGGACCCGGACCGTGCCGGCGAGCCGTGTGCCGGCGGGTCTGCGCGGCACGGGTGGCCGAGCCGGGGTGCCGGCGTTGCCCGGTGTTTAGGGTACACGCCGAGCCGGCTGTGTTTACTCCGGGTGTTTACAGTAAATCCCTTGCCGAGATCTCAGCGGCTTCTTTCCACCATAACTCGGCGTCAGGTTTCAGGCAGGGAAAGCCGCCGGCTCGTCCTGGCTCTCGCATCCGCGCCGGGATGGGGAAAATGGGAGATGCTCAGCTCCGTGTTGCCCCCAGTGCTCCCGCTCCCTGCCAGGCTCCGGGTGGGGAAAAAAAAAAAAAAAAACAAACCCTGGGGATGGCAAACCCACTGCCGGGGCTGTGGGTGCCCGTGGTAGCCTCGCGTGCCCCGTTAGCCGCCTGGGCACCGTGCCGGGGAATTAATGGGAACGACCTCGTGGGAGCTGCCGGCACGCTGGGGAACCACTCAGCCGTGGGGGGGAAAGATGCCCCCCATGGCTGCCTCACAGCTCGGGGAAGGGGGAAAAACCCCTTTTCCCACCCCACACCAGACCCCTCCTAGGGCAGGCGGTGGGGCTGGGCCGTGGTCCGTGGGGCGAGACGCCCGCCCGGGCAGCCAGAGCTCGTTAACATCACGGCTCGCCGCGCTGACGGACGCGTCGTGCCCCGCAGAGCCGCAGCACGCCGGCTGCCTGTCAGAGCCACTCGCGTCTCCCCGACAGCCCAAACCAATTCCAGTCCCGTGTGACAGGCAGCGCCGGGATATTAAACTCCCCCCCCCCCCGTCCCCTGAGCATGCCTGCGGCCCCAGCGATGGGCACAGTGCATGGGGAGGGGGGGGATCCCTGCGTGGGGGAGGTGGTGGTGGGGGAGCTGCCCTGTCCCTGCTGCCCACGGGGTCCCCCTCTTGTCCCCCCCCTCCAAGTCTGCGGCAGCATGGACATCCGCAACGACGTCTCCCAGCTCCAGAAGCTGGAGAACTGCTCCATCATCGAGGGCAACCTGCAGATCCTGCTGATGTTCACCACGGGTGCCGAAGACTTTCGGGGGCTCAGCTTCCCTCGCCTGCTCATGATCACCGAGTACCTGCTCCTATTCCGCGTCTACGGGCTGGAGAGCCTGCGGGATCTCTTCCCCAACCTCTCCGTCATCCGCGGCACCAACCTCTTCTTCAGCTACGCCTTGGTCATCTTCGAGATGCCGCATCTGCGGGACGTGGGGCTGCACAGCCTGGGCCACGTCCTGCGCGGCTCGGTCCGCATCGAACGCAACCAGGAGCTCTGTCACCTCTCCACCATCGACTGGGGGCTGCTGCTGCCCGACGCCGTGGACAACACCTACATCGTCGGCAATAAGTTGGCCGAAGAGTGCGCCGACGTCTGCCCGGGCATCCTGGACGTGGAGAAACCGTGTGCCCAAACCAACGTCAACGGGCAGCTGGATTATCGCTGCTGGACATCCAGCTACTGCCAGAAAGGTGGGTGCCGGTGGCGCGCGGGGCTCGATCGTGCCGGTTGTTTTGCCAGCGCGGGGCCGGTTTGCCCCGTGGCGGCTGTGGGGTGGACCGGGAGGGCGCTGGGGAAGGCTGGTGGAGCTGCGAGGGGATGGCAGGCCCCGGCACGTGGCCATCGCTCCCTTGCCGCCGGGAGCGTGGCGTGCCAGCGGCGTGGCGGGGGTAACCGGATCCGCGCTGTATCATCCTCCGGGGGGAGAGGCCAACTCCTGGGTGCCGTGTTTTCCCAGCGGCGAGGTAAATACAGGCCCCCCCCCGGGCTCGTTTGCTGTAAACAGGAGACTTGGTAATGAAATATATACTATAAACACCGATCCTTATCGGGGCTGGAACCTCGGCTGCTGCCCCGGCACCGGCTGCACTGGGCAGCTGGGGCTGAACGTGGGCTGAGCCTCACCCCATCCATCCGTCTGTCCTGCCGTCTATCCGTGCAGCCCTTCAGCCCCCCAGCTGGTCACACGGCCACCTGTCAGCCCACCTGTCCGTCTGTCCACTCACCGTTTGGCCATCCCTCCACCTATTCCTGCGTCCCTCGACCTGTTCCTGCATCCCTCCATCTTTCCACCCCTCCCTTGCTTCATCCCTGCGCCCCTCCTTCCATCCCTCCTTCCATCCCTCCTTCCACCCTTCCTTCCATTCCTCCCTCCATCACTTCATTCCTTCCTCCCTCCCTCCATTCCTGCACCCCCCCATCCCCCCCCCATCCCTCCCTCCCTCCCTCCCTCCCTCCCTCCCTCCCTCCCTCCCTCCCTCCCTCCCTCCCTCCCTCCCTCCCTCCCTCCCTCCCTCCCTCCCTCCCTCCCTCCTTCCATCCCTTCCTCCCTCCATCCCTTCCTCCCTCCCTCCCTCCCTCCCTCCCTCCCTCCCTCCCTCCCTCCCTCCCTCCCTCCCTCCCTCCCTCCCTCCCTCCCTCCCTCCCTCCCTCCCTCCCGCCATTTCTGCATCCCCACATCCCTCCCTCCATCCCTCCCTCCCTCCCTCCATCCATCCCCCCAGCCCTCCACACCCCTCCCCTTGCCCCGCTGAGCCGTAGGGTGTCACCAGCCCCCCACCACCCCTTCCCACCTCTTCCCTCTCCCTGCCACACAAACCCGGTCCCCCCCTCCCCACCTCGCTGCCCCAGGGCCGGGCTCTCCGCACCCAGAGCCTTCTCCTCGCCCACGGCACCGACTCCCTCCCCGCAGTGTGCCCGTGCGGCGCGGGCTCGGCGTGCACGGCGGCGGGCGAGTGCTGCCACGCCGAGTGCTTGGGGGGCTGCGGGCGACCCCGCGACAACCGAGCCTGCGTCGCCTGCCGCCACTTCCACTTCAACGGGCACTGCCTGCCCTCCTGCCCCCCCCGCACCTACGAGTACGAGGGCTGGCGCTGCGTCACCCCCGAATACTGCGCCAGCCTCCGCAAGGTCTCCGACAACCCCCGCGACGCCTCCAAGTTCGTCATCCACCAGCGGCAGTGCCTCTCCGAGTGCCCTTCGGGCTACACCAGGAATGAAAGCAGGTTGGGGCGGGGGGGGGTGGGGGGGTGTCCCCAGTGCCCCCCCGGCACGGGCGCGGCGGTGGCCAGGGGCCCGGCTCATGCCTTGTTGTCCCCGTCCTCCTGCCCGCAGCATCTTCTGCCACAAGTGCGAGGGGCTGTGCCCCAAGGAGTGCAAGGTGGGCACCAAGACCATCGATTCGACGCGGGCGGCGCAGGAGTTGGGGGGCTGCACCCTCGTCGAGGGGAACCTCATCGTGAACATCCGCCGGGGCTGTGAGTGCTGGATCTGCTCCCCGCCCCCCCCAGCCCACAACCTGCCCTGGGTGGGAGAGCTGTCACGGGGTGTGTGGGAGGGGGGAATGCAGGGGGGGGTGTCTTTTCCCTTGCAGGGTGAATTAATAGTGGGGTTCCCCCCTCCCTGAGCTCACACCCGCGGGTTGTCCCCAGATAACCTGGCCTCGGAGCTGCAGAGCAGCCTGGGGCTCATCGAGACCATCACGGGCTTCCTGAAGATCAAGCACTCCTTCGCCCTCGTCTCCTTGTCCTTCTTCAAAAACCTCAAGCTGATCCGTGGGGACTCCATGGTGGATGGGTGAGGACGGGGCGTGGGTTGGAGAGACACGTGTGGTTTCAGGGGTGCCCGTGCCCACCGCCCCCATCTATGTCTTCTCTTCCAGGAATTACACCCTGTACGTCCTGGACAACCAGAACCTGCAGCAGCTCTGGGACTGGAGCCACCACGTCCTCTCCATCCCCGTGGGCAAGATGTATTTCGCCTTCAACCCCAAGCTGTGCCTGGCTGAGATTTACCGCATGGAGGAGGTGACGGGCACCAAGGGGAGGCAGAACAAGGCCGAAATCAACCCCCGCACCAACGGGGACCGGGCGTCCTGTGAGTACAGGGACGGGGGACACCCGGCAGTGCCCGCAAACCCCCCCCCCCCCTGCCCAAACCCTGACCCTCCCTGCAGGCAAGACCCAGACCCTGCGCTTCATCTCCAACGTCACCGAGTCCGACCGCATCTTCCTCAAGTGGGAGCGGTACCGGCCCCCCGAGTACCGGGACCTCCTCAGCTTCATCGTCTACTACAAGGAGTCGTAAGTGGTCGCTGATCCCCCACTTGTCCCCATCGCGGAGGTTCTTGGGGACCCCAGCCCGTGGTGTCCTTGTGCGCTGGGGGGCTGCTGGACCTCGGGGAGGCGGGGGTGGGGGTGGGTCGTGTGGCTGGGAAAGGAGCTCCAGGACCCTCCCCGGTGCCCGGTGTGGGGCAGACCCTTCCAGAACGTGTCGGAGTACGTGGGGCAGGACGCCTGCGGGGCGCAGAGCTGGAACGTGCTGGACGTGGAGCTGCCGCTCAGCAGCGAGCAGGCGCCGGGGGTGACCCTGCTCAACCTCCGCCCCTGGACCCAATACGCCATCTTCGTCCGCGCCATCACCCTCACCACCGCCGAGGAAGGACGCAACTACGGGGCGCAGAGCGAGGTGGTCTACATCCGCACCATGCCGGCGGGTAAGGGGCTGGGGAAGAAGGGGGGGCCGGGGACACCCGTGGTGTCCCCCCAGAAGTGGGCTGAACACTCCCGCGTCCGCCCAGCCCCAACGGTGCCCCGGGATGTCATCTCCATGTCCAACTCCTCCTCCCACATCGTGGTGCGTTGGAAGCCGCCCACGCAGCGCAACGGCAACATCACCTACTACCTGGTGCTGTGGCAGCAGCTGGCCGAGGACATGGAGCTCTACGTCAACGACTACTGCCACAAAGGTGAGGGCAGGCAGGGGGGGGCATCGTCGGGGGGGGGGGGGGATGCTCTCGCCGAACCGGGCTCCGGCGGCGCTGCCAGCCCTGCCCCGTCTCTGCCCGCAGGTCTGAAGTTGCCCACCAGCAGCGCGGACACCCGCTTCGGGGACGGGGATGGCCCCGAGGTGGAGCAGGACGCGGAGGAGCGGTGCTGCCCTTGCCGCCCCGCCGACGGGCAGCTCCGCATGGAGGGCGAAGCCGAGTCCTTCCAGAAGAAGTTTGAGAACTTCCTCCACAACTCCATCATCATCCCCAGGTCATCTCCGTCTCCACGTCAGGGGGTGGTCTTCGTGTCGGGGGCAGGGGGGGCGGGCGGGTCCCCCAGGTTGGGTGCGTGTGTCTGCCATGGGTGGGGGAACCCGGTGGCTGGTCCTGGCAGATCCTTTAACCGATTTCTCGCTTCTCAGGCCCCCCTGGAAGGTGACATCCATCAACAAGAACCCGCAGAGGTGAGCGGCGACCACACAAGCCTGGAGGGTTCCCCTCCCCAGCTTGATGTTGGGGGGCACAACGCTGGCTCCTCATCGCCTCCCGTCCCCATCTCTTGTAGGACCCCCAAGCGGCGCAGGGATGTGGTGGCCGTCACATCCCCGGCCAACGCCTCTTCGGCGGAGCCGCCGGCCCCGAGCCGCGCCGGGGGCGAACCCAAACCCGACTTCCAGATCTTCGAGGACAAGGTGGTGCGTGACCGGGCGGTGCTGTCGCGGCTCCGGCACTTCACCGAGTACCGCATCGACATCCACGCCTGCAACCACGCCGCGCACACCGTGGGCTGCAGTGCCGCCACCTTCGTCTTCGCCAGGACCATGCCGGAGCGTACGTCCCAAAACCCTGCCCCGGCGATGCTGGGATATTCGGGGGTCCTGGTGTCTTTGAGATGGGGGGGATTGGGAGTGGGTTGGGGTCCGGGTGATGCTCCCCCCAGGAGCTTGACCCCCCTCTGTGCTCCCGCCCGCCAGTGCAAGCTGACAACATTCCCGGCAATGTCACCTGGGAGCCGGCCGGCAAGAACAGCATCCTGCTGCGCTGGGAGGAGCCCAGGAACCCCAACGGGCTCATCCTCAAGTACGAGATCAAGTACAGCCGCGAGAGCGAGGTGAGGACCCCCCCCGACACCCCCTGCCCGGCCCCGCCAGCTCTGGTTGTGGGGGTGCAGAACCCTTCCCCTTCCCCAAGTCTTGTGCAGGGTTGGGATGAAGCCCCCTTCACCCCCCCCCCCCCCCAAACACACTGTCCCCCCCCCAGGAGGTCACCACCGTCGTCTGCGTCTCCCGTCACCGCTACTCCAAGTACGGGGGGGTCCACCTGGCTCTGCTCCAGCCGGGGAACTACTCGGCCAAAGTCCGGGCCACCTCGCTGGCCGGCAACGGCTCGTGGACGGGGCTCATCAAGTTTTACATCCTGGGGCCAGGTACCCACGGGGGATGGGGGAACACCAGTGGGGTCCTTGGCTGAGGGACAGGCAGGGAGGGGGAGCTGGGGACCAGGGGGAAGTGCTGGATGAGGGCACTGGGGGAACTGGGGGGGATGCTGCTGGGCTGAGACGCCGGGGATCGGGGAGCGCTCCTGAAGTTGGGGAGCTGGGGGATAGGGGGGATGCTCTGGGATAGGGACACCCAGAGATCAGTGGGTGCTGCTGGTCTGGGGAGCTGGGGACACCAGTGGGCCCTGGCCCACGGCCACCTGCTCCCGGCAGCTGAGGAAGAGTCCGGCAGCTTCTACGTCCTGCTCACCGTCACACCCGTGGTCCTCATGGTGCTCATCTCCTGCCTCGCTGTCTTCGTCTTCTTCTACAACAAGAAGAGGTAGGGACCCCCCCCCACCCCTGCACCCCCAGAGCTGGGCTGGGGCCCGATCCGGCCATGCCAGGGCTGGGGAAGGGTCATGGGTGGGGGTGGCACCGTGCTCTGGCCCCCCCCGTCCTCTGAGGGCTGCCCACCCCTCGCAGGAGCAATGACGGGTACCCCAGCGGGACCCTCTACGCCTCCGTCAACCCCGAGTACTTCAGCGCCTCAGACAGTATGTGGAGACGGGCAGGGGGGTCCCCGGGGGGGTCTGCTGGGCTGTGCTGGGGGGAGGGGGTGGGAAGGGGATGGGAAGGTGATGGGGATGGGATGGGGATTGGATGGGAAGGGGATAGAGATGGGGATGGGGTTGGGAGGGGGATGAGATGAGGGTGGGGATGGGGATGGGGTGGGATGGGATGGGATGGGATGGGAGGAAAATGGGGATGGGACGGGATGGAATGGGGATGGAGATGGGGATGGGATGGGGTGTGAGGATGATGGGAGGATGATGGGGAAGGGATGGGGATTGGATGGGAAGGGGATAGAGATGTGGATGGGGTTGGGAGGGGATTGAGATGAGGGTGGGGATGGGGTGGGGTGGGATGGGATGGGAGGATAATGGGGATGGGACGGGATGGGGATGGAATGGGGATAGAGATGGGGATGGGATGGGGATGAGGATGGGAAAGTGATGGGAAGGTAATGGGGATGGGGTGAGAGGATGATGGGAGGATGATGGGGATGGGATGGGATGGGATGGGATGGGATGGGATGGGATGGGAGGATGATGGGTATGGAGATGGGAAGGTGATGGCGATGGGATGTGGGGATAATGGGGATGGGACGGGATGGGGATGGAATGGGGATGAGGATGGGAAAGTGATGGGAAAGTAAGCGGGATAGGGTGTGAGGATGATGGGAGGATGATGGGGATGGGATGGGATGGGATGGAGATGGGAGGATGATGGAGACAGAGATGGGGACGGGGACAGGGATGAAGATGGGAAGGGGATGAGCGGGTGATGGGGATGGTGACAGAGATGGGGATGGTGGCGGGGATGGGGGTAGAGTGGGAGGGGGATGGTGACGGGGATGGAGATGGGGATTGAGATGGTGACAGCGGGTGGGGGATTGGGATGGTGACAGCGATCGTGATGGTGACAGTGATGGGGATGAGGATGGTGACGGGGACGGGGTGGTTCCCCCTCGCCCCGCAGTGTACATGCCCGATGAGTGGGAGGTGTCGCGGGAGAAGATCACGGTGATCCGGGAGCTGGGGCAGGGCTCCTTCGGGATGGTGTACGAGGGGCTGGCGCTGGGGCTGGCCGCTGAGGGCGAGGAGACCAAGGTGGCCTTGAAGACGGTCAATGAGTTGGCCACCATGCGGGAACGCATCGAGTTCCTCAACGAGGCCTCCGTCATGAAAGCCTTCAAGTGCCACCACGTGGTAGGTGGGCGGCCAAGGGGGAGGGAGGGAGGGGAAAACGGTGGTGGTGGTGGGGGGGGGGATCCGGCCACTCACCCGCCACCCCTCTTTGTCCCCACAGGTCCGTCTGCTCGGCGTCGTGTCCCAGGGTCAGCCAGCTTTGGTCATCATGGAGCTGATGACACGCGGGGACCTGAAGAGCTACCTGCGCTCGCTGAGGCCTGACGCCGAGGTGAGGGAGGGCGAAGGGGTGTCTATTTTGGGGTGGGGGGTGGGGGGGTGTCGCGGTGTTTCCTCCCCAGCCCCGACTGTCTGTGCGCGGTGCAGAACAACCCCGGGCTGCCGCCGCCGTCGCTCAAGGACATGATCCAGATGGCGGGGGAGATCGCCGACGGCATGGCGTACCTCAACGCCAACAAGTTCGTGCACCGGGACCTGGCCGCCCGCAACTGCATGGTCTCCGAGGATTTCACCGTCAAGATCGGAGGTGGGTGGGCAGCGGCGGGCAGGCTGGCTGCCAGCCCCCCCCCCCCCCCCACCTCTCCGCGCTCATGCCTTCCTCCTCCTCTTCCTCCTCCACCAGATTTCGGAATGACCCGGGATATCTACGAGACGGATTATTATCGGAAAGGCGGCAAGGGGCTGCTCCCCGTTCGCTGGATGTCCCCCGAGGCCCTCAAGGACGGCATCTTCAACACGCAGTCCGACGTCTGGTGGGTGTTGGGGTGCGGGGAGGGGGGTGGGGGGGTGGGGTTTGGGGGGGGTCGGGGCCGGGGGGTGGGGGGGTGGGGGTGTTGTTCCCAGGCTGAGCAGCGGCGTGCTGGCAGGTCCTTCGGTGTGGTGCTGTGGGAGATCGCCACGCTGGCTGAGCAGCCCTACCAGGGCATGTCCAACGAGCAGGTCCTGCGCTTCGTCATGGACAACGGCGTCCTGGAGCGGCCCGAAAACTGCCCCGACAAACTGTGAGTGAGAAGAAGGGAGACCCCCGCCACACACACCCTCCCCCCCCCCCCCCCCACCTCACCCCAGACCCTCGCCCCGCTGCGGGAAAGGCTGGGGAGGGGGAAACTGGCACCGAGCCCATCACCCTGGCATCTGGTCTCTGCGGTGTTGGGGTGGCCGTGGGGTGCCAGGCCCCCCCCCCCCCCAAACCCAGCGGGTACCCTCTCTCCCGCAGCCACGAGCTGATGTGCCTGTGCTGGCAGCAGAACCCGCGCCAGCGTCCCTCCTTCGTCCAGCTCCTGGAGAGCATCAAGGACCACATGGCGCCCGCTTTCCGCACCCTCTCCTTCTTCTACAGCCCCGAGAACCGCCGGCGCGGCTCGGGAGAGCCCTCCGACGCCGAGACGGAGCAGCCCCCCGGGGAGGGGGACGAGCCCCCCGCGTCCCCCCTGCCCGCCCGCAAGGACCGCAGCCCCGGCCGGCTCCCCAACGGGACAGCCTGACTCTGACCCCGGGGTTGTCCTCGGATCCGCGCCGGACTCTGCACCCCCACCCCCCCCTCCCTCCTCTGGCTGCCCCCCCCACCGCCGGGACCCGCCCCCCCCCCCCCCCCTCCATGTTATTTATTGCTTCCAAGGGCCTGGCCGAGGAGTGGGCGCCTTGGGAAGGGGGTGGCAGGCAAAGCAAGGATGCTCCATAGGGTGCATCTCCCCTGGGAATAAATTGGGGTGCCCCAAATCGGGGGGAGGGAGTGGGAGGGCTGCTGGTTGGGAGAAGACCACGCTGGTATTTCCTTATGTTGTTTTTTTTTTTGGAGGGGGGGGAAATGGGTTTCTGGGGGTGGGGAGTGGGGTTCGGGGTCTCCCCACCAACCTGCCTCCTCCGCTGCCCCCCAGCTGCCCGGCAAACAGGTCAGTAGTGTGACACCCCCCCCCCACCCCCCCCACCTACTTTTACAGGTGGGGAAACTGAGGCACGGGGCAGCTCTGCAGCGGGGAGACACCTGGGGCTGCCTTCACACTTCCCCCCAGTCCCTGGCACTGGGACCAGCGTTGGGGCTGTGCTGGTCCACAGAAGGGGCTTCACTGTCTAATCCATGGCCGTGGGACGCGCATGAATAAAGGGGGACGAAGCTCGGCCGCGGCGGTGCCTGGTTTGTGGGGGGGGGTGGCACACGGGGCTTTCCACTCCCCCCCACCCCCCTCAACCCCATCCGCTTCCTACGCGCCCCGGCTGCGGCTTTACCCTGCGGTGCCCGAACCGGGGGCGTTTCTGGGGAAAAACGTCAAAGCAGTGGAATCTGGGAGGATGTGGCAGGCGGCAGCCACCGGCCTGCTCTGGAGGGGGGGCTGCTGAGGGTGGCCAGAGGGGTCTCAAGGTGGGGTGGGGGGGGTGTGTGTGTCACTGCAAAGGGGAACTGTGGCCCCGCTGGGTGCCGCTGGGGGGCTGGTGTGGGAGATGGGTCCGGGGCTGAGCCATGCAGGGGGAATGCAGGCTGAGAACGTGCTAAACTCAGTGCACAAATGAGCCCCCCCCGCCCCGAGGTGCTTTGGGGACAGGCAGCAGCTGGGTGGGGAGGGGGACCCACCAGGGGAGGAGGAAGAGAGTCCTGGTCACCAAACATCCCCCCCCTCCTCGTCTCCAGCCTCTCTGCACCCCAAAATAACGGGGTGCTGGGGGAAGAGCCTGAGCCAGGGCAGCTCCGTTGCGTGTTGAGATTTTGGAGGCCTGGAGGGGTGTGACAGGTTGGGGGGCTCTTGGTGGCCCCCCTGAGCCCGGGGGTGCTGGTGTGATGGCTCCTGTCCCTCACGTGCAGCCAGCTCTGGGCAGGAGCCAGGTCCTGGAGCGGGGACGTGCGTGTGTATGTGTGTGTGTACATGTGTGTGTACATGTGTGTGTACATGTGTGTGTCCCGGTGTGGTTGGGGGTGCCAGGATGCTGCTCTGTGGGCTTGGGGGGGCAGGTTTGGGGCTGGGGGGTGCAGGTGTAGGGTGCCAGAGTGCAGGCAGGTTGCAGGCAGGGGTGCAGGCAGGGTGCAGGGGTGCAGGCAGGGGTGCAGGGAGGGGTGCAGGCAGGCCCCCTGCTCGGTGCCCGTGTGCGGCGGGACACCCTCTCCGTGGGTCGGGGAGTTCCGGGCAAGGCTGCGGCCGAGCCCCCCGCCCCCCCCCCCCCCCCTCCCCGGTCCAGGGGCTTCCCGGGTGTCGAGTGCCGGTGAGTCACGGCCGGGGTTGGGGGGGTCGCCGGGGCCGGGGCGGTGCCGGGGCGGGGGGAGCGGCCGGCCCCTCCCGGGAGGCCGGTCCCTACGTTGCTTTTAAGCCCCGCACGGTCCCGTGCTCGGGCTGCCGGGCAAGTGCGAGGGAGGGCGGCACCGGGCACCGGGCACCGGGCCCCGGGCACCGGCCCCGCGATGCCGCCGCTGCCCGCCTGGCTCTGCCTGGCCGCGCTGCTGCTGCTGCTGCTGCTTCCCCTGCCCGTCCCGGGCGCTGCCGGTCCCTGCCCCCGGTCCTGCCGTTGCCCCCGGGCCGGTAGCCTGGTCTGCCGGGAGCCCGGTACCGTGGGCAGCCTGGCCCGGCTGCTGGGGACCGGCGGCTTCACCGACGTGTGAGTGGGGCTGGGGCCGGGGGGGGGGGGGGGCGGGGGGGACAGGGTGATGGAGGGGGGGGGGGTGATGGAGCTTGGGGGACAGGGCTTGGGGGTGATGGGGCTGGGGGACAGGGTGGTGGAGGTGGGGGTGCTGGGGCTGGGGGTGCTGGAGCTCAGGGACACCCAGCAGAGGGGCTGGGAGTGATGGGGCTGATGATGATGGGGGGTGAAGGGCGCGGTGACGGGGCAGTGGGGCTGGGGGTGGTGGAGCTGGGGGATGGGGTGACAGGGCTCGGGGGTGACGGACCTCAGGGACAGGGTGGTGGGGCTGGGGGGTGATGGGGCTCAGGGGTGATGGGGCTCAGGGGTGATGGGGCTCAGGGGTGATGGGGCTCAGGGGTGATGAGGCTGGGGGACGGTGATGATGGGGGTGGTGGAGCAGGGATCCGCTGTGGGGCTGGGATCTCTGTGGGGAACGGGGTTGCTTGGTGGGAGGCGCTGGGGGGGCTGCAGAGACAGCGGGGGGCAGGGGAGCCCTGCTGCATCCCCCCAAGGAGCGAGTGAGGGACTGGGGGCAACTCTTTGCCCCCTCCCGCAGCGATGCCAGTGGGAGCTATGGGCTAAGGGCACGGCGGGGTGCCCGGGCAGGGAGCACCCAAGCCATGGGTGCAGGGAGGGACGGACCCCCTCGTCCCCACCCCAGCAGGGCTGTCACGTTGCCCCAGGGCCTGTGGGTTGGCATTCTGAGGGCGGGGGGGGGGGGGGGGTACCCCGAATTTACTGGATTGGGGGATCTCTGTTCTTCCTCATCCTCCTGCTCCAAGATGCATGGTGGGGAGAGGGGGGCTGGAGTGAGCAGAGGTGTGTGTGGGGGGTGCTGAGTGATGTTGGGGTGCCCAGACTCCTGGGTCCTCCCCCCGCCACAGCCCTGGCTGTGCCGCATTGCCGGGGGGGGGGGACTGGCTGCGGCATGTCTCTGTGCCTCAGTTTCCCCCCATGTGCCGGGGGATGCTGCGCCGCGGGGCGCTGCCAGCTCTTTGTTTGCTGGCTGCTGAGGTGGGGGGGTGGGGGGTGGAGGTCCCCGAGAGACCCCCGGCCATCCTGCTGCCCTGGATTCCCTCCTATCCCCACAGCCTCATCCAGGGGGTGGTGGTAGGGACACCCCCACCCCCCCTCCCCGCACGGAGGTCGGTGGGACCAAAACCCCCTCCATGTGTGTCTGAATCCTTAATTAACCCCTGGCAATTTGGGGTTCTCAGGAGCAGCCTGTGGGGTGGGGCAGGTGGGAAAACCCTGTACCCTCTCCCAAAGGTCTTTCCCTTCACACCCTGCCTTGGGAAAAGGGGAAGTGGGGGGGGACACACACACTCGGTGCCCCCCGTTACATCGCAGGACACTGTGGGGTGTGAGGAAAGGTGGGGACCTATGAAGGCGTGGGGCTGAGACCCTGCAAACTCGCTCTCTGGGTGAGACTGTGGGCTCCAAGCAGCGGCTCAGCCTCCGCACTGTTGGGATCCGCTGCTGCCATCCTCAGCTCCACCTGATCCGTGCCCCCCGCCCCCCTCCCCCCCCCCCCAGCTCCTCCCTCTCTGCCCAGAGGGAAACTGAGGCACGGTGGGACAGCTCAGCTCTGTCCCTGTCCCCGTCCCCATCCATGGGCTGGCGTGGGGAGGGGAAGAGCCGTGGGCCCCCACTCCTAAATCGCCCCACGCTTTGCTGGCAGCCCCTGGCATGGGGGGTCCTGGGGCTGCTCCCCCGACCACCCCCCCCCCCGCCTCGTTTCCCTTCCAGCATCATCGAGAACCAGCAGACACTGACGACCTTGACCCGGGCTGACACCAGGATGCTGCGGGACCTCAGGAGCCTGTGAGCACCCGGGGCAGGGGGGGGGGTTCCCTGCACAGGGAAATGGGGGGGGGGGGGGGGGGGGCGCGCTGGTGGATGTGGGCAACCCCAGAGCTTCATCCCGCTGCAGGGAGATGAAAGGGGGGGGTGGTGGTGCTCCCAGGATGGGGATTCAGGGTCCCCAGTGCGGGTGCTCAGCCCTTCCCTTTCTCCAGCACCATCTTCAGGTCGGGGCTGCAGCACGTCTCTGCCGACGCCTTCCTGGACACCCCCAGGCTGAGCCATGTGTGAGTATCCCCCCCCCCCCAGTTTGGGGGTTCAGGTCCCCCCATCCCTGCAGGCACTTGGCCGTGGTGCAGGGCGGCTGGTCCCTGCACCCAGGCAGGATTGATGGTGTCCCGCTGCCCATCACCCATCGACCGGCAGGAGCACAGGCAGCTGCTGGCCCCCCCCAGTGTGGGAAGGGACCCCAGAAATCAAGGCGGGGGGGGGGGGACGACACACGACGACACACAAAACCCTGTCTTGGGGTGCGTGGGGCTCCCCTCCTTGCAGGGAGGTGCCTGACCCCCTGGCAGAGGTGGCTTTGCTTGGTCACGGTGTGACAGCGGTGGCCCCGGTGCTGCCCAGTGTCACGGCCAGACCCTCTGCAAGGGTGGGGTGATGTGGGATGGGGGTCTGCAGTGGGAAGGGGGGGTGGGGTGTGGGCTGATGGGGACTGTCCTTGCAGGAATCTCTCCTCCAACGCGCTGCACAGTCTTTCCTGGAAGACCTTCCAACATCTGCCCCTGCAAGAGCTGTGAGTGATGCTGCGGGGAGGGGGGGGAAGGTGGGTGCGGCGCATCCCCAGCCTGGGATGCACCCCCGGGGTGATGCGGAGGCGGGGACGGCTCGAGGTGACCCGTTTGACCCCTTGTCCCCTTCCCTGCCCCGTCTCAGCATCCTGGTGGGAAATCCCTTCAACTGCTCCTGCGGCCTCCGCTGGCTGCAGCTCTGGCAGAACGGGAGCCGGGCCGAACTGGGCAACCAGTCGCTGGGCTGCTGGGAGGGCAGCGTGCTGGTCCCTCTGGGCAGCCAGCCCCTCCGCGCCTGCGGTACGTGGCAGGGGACCCCGCCGGGTTTGGGTGCTTGTGTGTCCCGTCCCCCCCCCCCCCCTGCTCCTGAGTCACTTGGCTGGGGACAACGTGGGACGTGGGGAAGGGGGGGATGTGGCCCCCTCTGACCTCCTCCTCCTCCTCGGTAGAGCCCCCGACCGTCCGCATCGAGCACCCCGAAGCGGTGCTGCGCCAAGGGGACAGCGTCAACCTCACCTGCCACATCGCTGCCGAGCCACCGGCCACCGGGGAATGGGTGGTCCCCGAGGTGGGACCCGAGCCACCCGTCATCACCAAGGCAAGCTCAGCCTCGCCGGGGCACGGCCGGGGACCTTCCCAGCAGCACCGTCCCTGCCACAGCATCGTCTCGCTGGTGGAGTGGGCGTGTGTGTGGGGGAGCTCAGCTCCGGGGGGCTGTTTGCTCACCCCATCACCTGCAGCTCTCGGACTGGGAGATTGTCCTGGAGATCAGCAACGTCTCCGCCAACCTCAACCACAAAGAGCTGACGTGCCGGGCGGAGAACACGGCGGGGCCAGGGGAGGACAGCGTGATGCTAAATGTCACCTGTGAGCAGCCCGGAGGGGACCGGCGTGGGGGTCTCTGGGGTTGAGGGGTC